CCCCCAGTTGTTCCTTATTTTGGAATACGGTCCACGGAAGGGCTGTGTAGGATTTTTTAATGTAAGCAAGCAAGCAAGAGGTATTCTTCTCACTACAGTGCCTTTTGTTCTCCCTTTTCCCCCACCCCTTTAAAAAAAAACAAAAAACTCATGCTTTTTGCACATGGGTAAGGGGGGACTGCTGAACTTCAGCCTTGCTTAGTGAGGAGATTTTTTTGTCTTTATGGTTTTAATCTTCACTTTTCCTCAGTTTCTCATACGTTTAATACCAGTAAGGTGGATTCTCCATGCCTTGTTTCATGGTAAGCACCTGGTTGATTTGGCTGCATGAGATTTCGCAGTGTCTGGGTGCTTTTTACTGTCTCAATTACTTGGATACACAGGTCTGTAGGGTTGCCTTGTGAACTGGCTAAAAAACAACCTTTTTATTCTGGGTTGATAAGTTAAATTTGCTAGGGTATTTTTAACCCCAGACAGTTTACACATCCATGTCAAAATAAGCATCCCCCCCCTTCCTCCTCTCCACTGAATTTGTAAGCTCACATGAAGCAATGTGCTTTCCTGCAGGGATAGGGAAAAAGTTGGTATTGTTGTGACAGTCCCTACAGTAAGCCCTGATGTGAAAAACTATGTTTTTCGTTGTGTGCGTGACAACAGTGCAGATACGGGAAAAGAAGTACTGTGTAGCTCTATACTAGTTCTCCTAGCCTGTAAAACCTGGAATAGATATGTATTTTTTTAATGAATAATTAGGTTATGAGGTGCTGCTAATTAGTTATTTATGTATGGGAATTACTTCTACTGTAGATCACTGTGCTCATATTTATGTATTAAAAAAGACTAAGAAATATTAAGGTACAACCCCCTTAAGCACACTGAAACAACAAAGCAAATGTGATGTATTTTAATTGTTATTGAATGCAATAAAACAGTTTGAAAGCAGTGAAGGGACAGGTTTTTATAAGAGGCAGAGACCATATATATATTTGTCAAGATAAGCAAAAAGGGTAGTGGGGGAGAAAACTTGAGATTTGGGTAAAGTATGCATGTAAGCTTTGTTGGAGGTCTGACGAGCTTTATACGAGCAGTATGACCTAATTTGCTTTTTGTTTTGAAAGCATTTTATGAAACTACCTACAGGAACGCATGGAATAAGCTTAGAGATATTAAAGAGGTACAGCAGTTTGGCCTACTACAGAACTATGGTTCGACTAACCATGCATCTAATTGCTAAAAGCATCAGTCACAAGAATCCCAAAGAAGAGTACTTTGCACAGTACCTGCGAAGAATAACGCATCTGAATTTATCAGATAAAAATATAGATACAATTGTAAGATTTATTTTTCTTTATTTCGTTTTTAACTCAGCTATTCAAATGTTTTGTTGTTTTTGTTGTTGCTGTTCTGATGAATTGTTTATAGTTAGAGAAAAACGAGCAAAGCCAAGTTTATATTTTATAACAGTTATATGATATTTTATAACATATTTATTTGCAATCAAGCCTTAAAATGCATCTGTTTGGAAACATGCTTCATTCAGCGTTTACTGCTTAATTAAAGTACTCTTATTGTTTGGAAAACTGCTTGTACCTAAACGTACATAAATGGATTTTAAATGCATGCGTATTTGAAATGTGAAAATAATCTTTCTGCTGTAACTTTTCATGTAAAACATCAAAGCAGGTGGATATAATTCCAATAGGCTGCAGAGTTGCTTATTATTGACCTGATACTTTTTTCTTTATTTAGCAAAAATCTTGTTGAAGAATTTTACCTACCTGAAAGTGGTGGAAATACAGAGTTGTCTACATAGCAGACAGGAAAGATGTTAACAATACACTAGCTAATTTTGCCATTAATTAAAACAAGAAAATCCATATAAGCAATTACACAAGAAAGAGGTGAAGTGAAATGTTAAAGTGATTTTTTTTTGTTTTTTTTTAGTATTTCACAGGACTAGCCAGATATCTACAGCTCTTCTAGAAATTTAAACAATTTGCTATTTTGACTATTTGGTACAGTTGCTACATTGTAAAGGAGCTTTCAGAGAGTCACCAGAACAGAATGATAGCTACTGCTTGCTCACCTCTTTAACCATTTAAGAAAGAGAGTATGTCAAATTAATCATCCAGACCTGACGCTTTTTCTTATACAATAATAGCCAGGTTATTGCCATTCAATCAGTAGATGTAGGACTTTGAGAACAGGTGCTTTAGGCATATTCAAATCCAGCCCTGTGGTTCTTGGAGGCTTTAGGTCTGATATCAAAAACAAAATTCAGACTTTCAGCAATACTCTGGCTTTGATTTAAGGACTTCTAGTTATTGATGGTTACCTTATAAAATACAAAACATGGAACAGAAGGACATGGGATGAACTAGTATTTTTGCAGATCAGATTTTTCATTATTTTAAGGAGGTAGTAATCATATTAGATAGTGCAACACTTAGTTTGTTCTCCTTCATGCCATTTTTTTTCCATTCTTGGGAATTTTACAAAAAGCTGTTAACTTGCAGCAAAATCTTTTCAGTCTATCTGTGATTTATTCTTTACATTTCAGAGGAAGTCTGAGAAAGCAAAGGAGCGTTCAGGAATAGGATATAAGCCAAGTGAGATTAACAAATTTGGACTGGTGTAGTGGCTATTTCAAATTACACATGTTAGAATCTACTTTTGTTAGTAAAATTGCTCCCTGGGGCTTATTCTTTTAAAAAATAAACCACGACCTTTTCATTTTCAAAGACAAAACCTGCAAACTTAACCCAGTCTTCCTCCTGTTGAGCTTAATAATAGGAAGTTTGTACAGGTTTCGAGAAGTCCTGAGCTAATTCAAATTCTCTCAAGCTATTGAGCACATTCTGAAATTGCTAAACCCTGAGCAACTGGATTGTATATGATGAATTTCTGAAGTATAATTTCATTCATGAAGATAAAAGACCTTCCTTGTTTCATGTGAACACATCCATGTAAGCATGTGGCTTTTCAGCCCACTCCTAGGAATAGCCATAGGCATAGTGAGTTATTAATTTGATCAGTCCACTTGGTTAGGACTGGTTCATTAGATATCAAGGTGATAGAAGTTTTAGAAAAACCCTGATAAGAACATGCTACTTTTCAGTTATTTAAGAATAATACATTTCAAAGAAATGTGACATTTCAGTTAAATCTTAAAATTGGAGATATATTAAAATACACTGATGTGCATTTTTTTGCATAAGTCATTATTTCTTTGCCAATAACTGCTTTCCATCACATCACTGAACTATTAAACTTTGGTGAAGACAACTGCACCAAACAGTCATGCTTTTCTGAAATTCACCTAAAGGAGGCAGGGAAGAGAATGAAGTCACATAGGATGTGATTTACTTGGTGATGATGGCTGTAACTCTCAGCTTCTCTGCAGCAAAACGCTAATGACAAATTACAGTTTTAACCTATATAGATGACTACTGATTCTACTTCATTTCCTAGTAAAAATAGTTGTTTAAAATGTTTATTAAAGGTGAAAATACATAATTCATACAGCAGAATTTAAATATAAAAACAAGCAACAGCTGCTAGAAGTTGATAGTGAGTGAACTTTCTGTAACATTAATTTGTTGCTGCTTATTTCAGGGTGATCTCTCTTTGTGCAGAAACCTTAGAGTTCTCTATTTATATGATAACCAAATCAGTCATATCCAGAACTTGGACTTTGCTACAAATTTAACACGCTTATACCTGCAAAACAATTGTATTTCATGTATAGAAAATCTCTCATCACTGAAACACCTTGAAAAACTGTAAGTTGAAAATCACATATTTTACTGGTAAGAAGATAATTGTTACACTAAGAAATTTAAACCTGATGTGGATATTAAGAAGGTACTTCTAGATGTTAAATTTTGCTATTCACATAAAAATAATTGCTGATATATGTTTTCTAATCAAATGTTCTATGATTTTAAAGTAACATAATGACATGTATCATCTTAACATACTGGCATTTGAATTATTTTGTTTTGTCAGTCATTTAATAATAGCAATAGTATCAGTATACCATAAAAACTGTAAAAAAAAAAAAAAAAAAGACTTGGATCACACTGTATGTTCTCCTTGCACATTCAGTTACTTACTTATTCTATTATAATTTCCAGCTATTTTTCAGTAATATGGTAAATATATATATATTTTTTTAATAAAGCTTGTGTTAGCTTTTGCTTTCAGAGCATATTAAATCTGTGTTCTGTTCTGCAGGTATTTGGGGGGTAATTGCATCGCTGTAGTAGAGGGTTTGGATAAATTAGAAATAAGGGAGCTACGTATTGAAAGTCAACATCTCCCTCTTGGTGAGAAGCTTCTGTTTGATCCAAGATCTCTTAGTTCCTTGGCAGTGAGTACATTTTGAGATTTTCAATGGACCATTAATCAGTAGATAAGTATTTTTAGGAAATATCATTAGAAAGACTTGATCATTGTGTGTTTTCCTTTTCTGCCAATAGGCGACATTCTTGCAAATTCTGTCAAGGGACTCCCACTCCAGCTCTTTTATAAGCAGAGTCTAGCAGAGTCTAACAACTTATTTTATTTGTGTATGAAAGCTGGAAATGAGAAGACAGACAGATAGGAAGGAAATGTGCATGTGCCACATACCAACAGAATGTGAAGAAACTAAAAAAGGGGTAGGAATTTATCACAGGGAATTAGTTATTTTAGTTTACTTAGTTTGTAATGAATGGCTGCTCATACTTCTATGACTTGATTGTCACATTAGTTTATTTACCACCTCTCATATTTCCCTAGAGAGTTGCGAACAGCTCTTTTTTTGTTATTAAGAACAACACGATCAGAAGCATTCAGTTTTAGTTCCACAATTTTTCTATGTTGTGTTATATCAACATTTTAGGGAAGGCAGCTTTGGAAGTTTTTGTTTGACATGTTAAGTGTTCAGTAAACATCAAATGTATTGTTCAACTGATTAAAAAGTTCAAGGCTATATTTACTAATGGATGTAGTTCTATAATACAACAGTTCATCTTGCTATATTTCTCAAGGCTTATTCAGGGCTTGATAGACTTTTTTGTGAGGATGAACAAAGAATGTTCGCTCAAAAGTGAATTCTTCTGTTCATATGTATATCATGAACACTTGACCTAGCTCTAATCTTGCTGTTTTGAGATGAAGTAATCCAAGACATGTATTGCTATCATTCTTTAACAAAAAAGAGCCATCCCTGTGAAAGCACTTTTACTTTCATCACTCTGTCCTGGAAAGATAATGAAAGCAGAGAGAGGTTTTACAGATAACATCTCCTTCCCAAGATGAAAACTCATATACTTAAATGTTTTGCAGCATCCTGACCTGGACTCACTAGCGTTTTGTTGTTCATAACTTTTATTTAGGGTTTTTTTTTTCAGAAATACTCTGCATTCTTGATCACTTAACATCTCTGTGGAAACTACACGTAAAAGCATTGCGTTTTTACCCTTCGAGTGCTTTTTTGTTCATTTTTAAGACATCACTTTTTACTTCATCTTCCTTTTGAATCTGTTTTTGGCTCTTAATGCTGGTAGCAAGGAAAGGGCCAAAAACGTGGCGCCACATAGTTCTCGGTGCACCACCAACAAATGTTCTGCTGATGGCAATATCCTCAGTCCTTTGACCAAGAAGCTTGTTTAGTTTATGCACTGTATATATCAGGATGATACTAGTAATTTCTGCCTGCAATGCAGATCTTGTTCTTCAGCTCAGATTTTAGAAGGGGTTTACGGTTCCTGATCCACACTGCTGAAATAGACTTTGTTTAACCAGTGGTAAGTCTCAAATCTGGTATAATTCTAAACTCACTAGCATAGGTGCCTTTTTTCATCTTCTAAAACTTCTTGTTGATTTTACATGAAACCACGTTAAGTAAACACCTGAAACACATTTAATTTTATCTAGAACATAAAAATACCTGTTGCCTATGACTATCCCAAAGTACATTCCTGCACCATTTTTCCCTTGGGAGAGTCATGCATTACAAAGGCAGAGTCCGTTGCTTGACTTACTGGTATGCCAAAAGAACGAAGGACACGGAATAGAGGTATGCATACCAAGTAGTTTGTAGGCCCAAGACAGAAAAAAAAGCAGCATAGTCCAGCTGTTAATTGAGAGTATGTGGGTATCAGATACGGGTTTCAGTTCTATGCACTTAAGGTCTAACCTTGGAAAAATTGGTTAATTTCTGTGCCAGTTACCTACTTCAAAGGTAGAGTTCATAGCACTCGGGAAACTTTGTAAAGAATTTGAACATGATTAGATGAAAACTTCCATATATACTAAGAATCCCTGAAATAATTGAGAAATAATCTTACCACATTTTAGGACAAGATGCAAAGCCAACATTAAACTGTGTGTAATGTACAAGGTAGTTCTGTTTGCATGGTTTTGCTTTGTATAGCTGTTCTTTCTTGAGGAGAATTTTTGGTAAGAATTTACAACTTGACTCATGCTTGGTGTGGAAAAAAAGTCATTTTCTTTCTCTACTTCTTTCCTCCAGAAATCTTTGTCCGTGTTGAATATCAGCAATAACAACATTGATGAATTAGCAGAGTTAGCAGTTTTGGAAAATATTTCTTATCTTACAGCAGTTGACAATCAGCTTCAAGATATGAAGGTATTAAAATAAATATTTGTTCTAACTGGTATGGGTGATAACAAAATAGTCAAATTCATTGTCAGCACTAAATAGATGAATACAGGTATACTTTACCTCTACAGTTAGTGAACCTCTGTCTTTCCAGCTGTACTGGGATTTTTTATCCAGAAATTTTGTCTAGATTAAAAAAAGGAGAACCTTTCATCTAGGATATCCAAATGTCCTGTAATCCTACACAAAGTGGCCATTATGCATGCATCTATCAACTGAGTAGTACATGCACAGAAGTTACAACATATCCAGAACGTAGAGCTGGTGTGTGTGTTCTGGCCATCTGGGTAACTATAAAAAGCTTTATTTGCAAAGAATGCAGTGCCATTGTTTGTTAATTAATTTGCAACATTTTACCATATTTCAGTTTTTAATTCTCTATTTTAATGTAAATAAAAGGCATTTATTGGATATCGTAGCATATAGCTGATTTTTCAGCCGTTCTCATATTAATATGACCTTTTTTGGATATTGTTGCCAGAGTAGCATAAAGACGTGCTTGTTATGAAAGTAGAAACTGAATTCCTTTTACAAATGTCTGTTCAGGAAAGGCATGTCTTCATAAGCAATAGTTCTGACTTCTAAAATAACTGCTAAAAAATGCAATATAAGTATCTTTACTCTTCCTTTTGCAGTAGTGAATGTGGTTTAAACAGAATGTTCTGGATATATAATTTCCAGCTTCCCTTCTCAAAAAGCAACAGGAGTAGCTTCTATACGTTTTGATTGTTTTCTACTTGCTAACATTAAGAAAACAGAAGTTTAAACAATATTTTGAGCCTCATGCTACTAGTCATTGAATTTTACATTGAATTTATGTTGAGCAGTGTGCTGCCACAGTCATTGCACAGTGAGGGTACGGAACAACAAACTTCATAAATGATTGTTTACACTGTATTCATTTCATACAACCATAGGCATTTCACTTTCTGTTGAAATGTACCTTTTTATTAATAAATGCCAGAGTGAATTGACTTAAATTGTAATACAAATCAGCAAGAAAAGGCCTTGACTAAAATAAACTATTTTATTACTGTTTTGCATATATGTTCTATTTTGTTGGAAAAGTTAACTTTAATTGGTTAGTAATTATTAAAACACTTAAGGCTACTACTTATTAGAATGTTTAGTATATTTTACATTACATTTGCCAGTTATATTTGCTAACGAGGAGATTCCAGTACTTTGTGCGTGTATTTTAGCACTTATCCAGGTCAGTACACTTTATTTGGACTCTTAATTTTTAACATTTTAATATTTAAAATGTTGAATGATGTGTTTCTTTTTCCTAGAGGATTATTAATATATTCATAATGTATTTCAAGCTGTCTTTTTGGCTGGCAGTTGTGACTGAATTCATATACGAATACAATTCAAGTTGTCTTTTATTAGGTCATTAAAACCGTAATTAAATGTGTTGGTTGCATCACAATAACAGTAAGCTTTTTTTTAATATGTAGCCTCTTTACATCTGATTTATTAACTAAAAGAAGTATCTTTAGTAAGGAATCTGAAAAGGTGGTTTCTGATAATTATGTCTTAAGATTTTAGAACTGCAGGTCTCATCCTTTCATAAATAGTGTAGCTCATAGTACTGAAGGTATCAAGATGAAGACTATGGTTTTTTTCTGAACTGACTAGTCATCAAAGTATGACATCAGCACTTCAGCAAACACTGACTTCAAGGTCTTTCCAATTTGGTGTCTGGAATTCCTTCAACATTTTAATAGAAAAATATGTTCATTCTGTGTTTAACTTAAGAGTTTACAATATATTTAAATATTTTAACACTTGCAGACACTTCTAAACACTGACACTTCTAAATTCTTAACAACTCTTAAGACTTGGAACAATTATAAGTTTAATTTCAAATAACTTTTCTTTTGGAAAGGAGCCCTGTTACAGTGATTTTTTTTTTAACCTTTTTTTTCTTTCTTATAAATACAAAAGATTTCATTTGTGATGATCTTAAAAGACAACTATCTTATCCAAAGAACCAATTTATATTAAGAATGAGGATGCAGGTTTAGAAACAGCATTTTCAGTGATTCAGTAACTAAGGGAAAAGCAGCAGGTTTTGAAACAAGAGTAGGGAGGATAAGAAGACAAAACTGCATTATCCAGTAATTGTGTGTATGTTACTTAATTTCATTATATCATCACCAGGAAGACGAGAGTTAATGTTTATCCAAATCAACTAGACATTTAGAGTTCCATGTTATGTGGTCACAGCTTTTGAAAATTTGTGTGGTTGGCACTTGAGTTAGTTACTGCTGCTATCAGTTGATACGTGGATCAAGTTCTAGTAGATTTTGAAAGCGCTTGTCCTGTGTGCTCTCTAAACAGTTCCAAGTTCTGAAGACATGGAGCAGGCAGGGTGTTCCTGTTGATATACTTGCAGGTCTGTAAAATTAATGACCGTATTAGGTATGTGTCACAAAGTGTAATACAACTGAATATCCAGCTTTGCAGCTACACTTAATGTGTTTCAGAGATTATATTTTAGTAGGCTCTGCTTAACACTAATATAAATTCTCATTTAAATTAAAAAAGAAATTGGAAAAGCAGTAGGCCAGGCAAAGTGTGTGTGTGTATATACATATATATATAAACAGTAGCAGTTTTATCTCTGTCTAAGAGGCTTTAACTTATAGTAAACATCTGGTAGGAGATTGATCTTATACCTCTAATAGCTGGAAAAAAAGTAAAGATAAGTTTTGAGTATATTTCTTTTTTTTGTTTTTTTTTTGCATCCCTGAACTTCATGATTCTATGGCTTATGTTATTCTACAACTGTGATAGTAAAAATAGTGTTAGGGATTATACTATTATTGTACTAAATATACTTGATTGTTTCTGTAAGCTGAGCTTGTTGCAAGCACCAAAGGCTCTTTTATTCTCGCACTAGTCCCTCCCTCTTGCCCCTCTATTTTCAAAGCTCTGAAGTCCACCTCTTTTTCAGGCCAAAGGCTCTATGTCTTGTTTTCCTGTTCCTGCTATCCCTGTGCTCTTAAGGCTCCCAGTGCTATCAAGAACATGCCCAGGAATGTTTGCAATTGGTCAGAGGCCATGGTGCAGTGGCACAGAGGAGTGATAGCAAGCTGTGTACCCAGCCCGGCTTTGCCTGGTGTCAGGGTAGGAAGAGCAGCCGCAAAGCAGCCATCCAGGTCTTAGCAGGGCTGGTAATAGCAGTGGTGACCTGTGTAGCAGAGGGAGAGTGCAGTGGGAATAAAATCTATGCAAAAGCAGGCAATGTAAAAGGCATAGCATGCATGAAATATAAGCTTCCTGTGTATGCTTTTCTCACTTTTGTATAATTTGTATAATATATAGTTACTTTAAATTGAAATATTTACCTCAGTTTTTTTTAACATCATTGTAAAAACCCATACCCCTTCATTCTTCAGCCACACTAAGCTGATTTCAGCATAGCTGAAAATGCATGCACTTAAGGTTCTGGCTACTTGAGGGCATTGTTAGCATAATTAACAGACATCAAGGCTTGTTTCACATGACTGAAGTTTCTATAATGCAGTCTGAATGGTAGACAGAACAGAAATTAGTTAATTGTTTTCAGTTCATGCAAAATAACTTATTATAACTAGCTACCACATGTAAAAAGCATGCCTTATGCTAGCCGTAAGGAACAGAATTCATTTTAATAGAATCGTCTTATCCTTGTTTTCTGCTGCTTGTTTCTTCATTTATTTTATTCTTTTGAGCTTCTTGTTTATGTTATTTGAATTTGCAGGGACTTCTAGGCTGCTGTATATTTGGGTAGGAATACTAAAGGAATTGCTTTTTCTTTCTGAGAAAACTGACCCTATTAATGATTTTTTTTTTTTTTTTTAGTTAGATTCAGGAAGATTATGACTCACATAAGTGTTTGGATAGATACAGAAAATGTAGCTAGAAATACCTATAAAAATCTGTATTTCCTAAGTCTTTAATTTATTCAACCTCTGCCCAGTATTGATTATGACAAGAGGATATCAAAAAAGATGAATTCACTCACTTTGGAATTCAGTCAGGAACAAGAGAAAAATTATAGATTTTCTCAAACAGATTATGACAGGTAGTCAAAATGGTGACAAATTGCTGTCTGTAGATGTAGTTAGGGCAGTTGGACTAGACGTTTCCGATAAAAACTGGAGCATGCTGGTCAAATACCAATTCTTAAATGGCCATCATTAATTGTGAAGAATGTTATTGCCCGTGCTACAGCTGCCTACTAAGGCACTTGCCCTTCCCCCTTCTCCCCCCATAGATGGAATATAATTTGCTCGTCAGTATTTTGTAGCAGACCTCAGAGTGATAGCATGACATGATCATTTATCAAACGGAGACTGCCCAGAAAAGTGTCTGGTCCCTTTAGTACAGCTTATTGAAAGGCTGGGAAGTGAAAGCACTTTATTAGAGACAGGAAGGCAATGAACAACTAGAGCGTATCGAAAGGGTAATCATATTTCAGCACAGGATTAGTGTGGTCTTAGATAAACATACACTGGAGTAAGCATGTTCTGGGTCATTTATCAAGTAAGTAACAGCTAACAAAAATCTACAGGACTCTTTGTATACATTCATCAAAGTTAAACTGTGTACATTTTATGTTTCAGTAATAGACAATTTTGTGTTCCAAAACTATTACTTGAAAAAAATCTTCCTAATGAAATCTAGACATCATTACAGATTTTAGTGATAGTGCCTGAATGCCCGGGTAAGAGTAAATAATAAACATACTTGCTAAATGCATTTATTTTTAAATAAGCCTAGCCCAAAATATTTTTCCTCTAAATTGTTATGTTTGTGGTAAGTGATAGCACCTAAGATATGTAGATTATCACATTGCTATTCCGATAGACACTAGTGAAGTTTCACTGTGTAATGTTAGGATATCTATCAACATACCTTCAGGTAGTTTTCAAAGTCTTCAGGGTTTCTTGCATCATTTTATCAGTCTTTTTCTTCACAGAACCAGACTTTCACATCTGTTTATTTTTCTGAAAAGGCACTGTCATCATTGGATCATTGTTTCAAGGTGTGAGGCTGTGCTGCCACTTCCTCTTCTGTATGTTTTTCTAAACATGTATTACATAATCCATAGAGTTTTCTGCAGAAGATTTTCTACCAAGAGAGGAGAGTCTTCAAAACCAGAATTCTCTCTAGTTATGTTTCCCAGGTGATTTTCTAAATTTGAAGGAGCTAAGAGATTTCTGCATCAGCAGTTATTTCATTTTTGGCATCAAGCTATGAAACTCTACAGACTTTACAGTTAGCATCAGTCACATCATGATCAGTAGATGTTTTTTCAAATTTATTACAACTGTAGAATATAAAGTATTTTAATTTATCTCTCCTTTTGCACTCATACGGATTGTTCTGAATCCCTTCTTAAGCTTTGTGCACATATAAGGAAGCATATCAAGAATGACAGTCAAATGAAATTTTGAAAAGCATATTTCAGAAAGTTGGGTATCTGAGTAAAAGGGATCAATCTGCTACGCTTGGCATCCTTTTAACTTGAATTTATGCTATTTAAAAGACAGAAGAGGTTTTATCTAGGTCATACTGTCCTTGAGTAACCAGACGGAAACACAGATGGAGAAAGGTATATTTCAAAAGTTTCACTATTTGGGCCAAACCTGTAACTGACCACCCACAGTTATGTAGGGAGGGATTACTCTTTCTCCTGTAAAATACAATTTTACATACATATATAGAGAGAGTGAGTTGAGTGTGGTTTACATTATTTTTACTGTTTAAATCTTTTTTTGTGTGTGTAAAATATTTATTCTTCCACAAGTTTTTCAAGGTCTAATCACACACTGTGGTATTCTAGAGGCTCTGTGATACCATGGCTATGTGTTGACAAAGCTACATACAATACTAACTTTTAAGTGGTGATTGTTCAGCTTTAGGTGCTTAGGAGTGGGATTATAGTGGTAATTTTCTATAGCTGCTGTTGCTGTATCCTTAAAGATACTGAGTTTTCCAATTGCATCACCATTTCTTCTGTGCAGTTATGATGCATTTAGGGAATGTTGCACATCACTCGGGGGGGAAAATACAGATTCTTAATTTGCGCACGTGAATAGTCTCATTGAAGTTATTTCTATTTGTAGGATTTGGGCCTAACTGAACAAATCACTGAATTCTGTCCCGGAGAGGGAGAAGTAATTACAGTGTTCTGCTCTTTTATTAATTGCAGGATTTGGAGGTTGTATTAAACAAATGGACCAAGCTACGCAGCATGGATCTTAGAGGGAACCCTCTTTGTCACAAACCAAAGTACAGGGACAGAATTATAGTACAGTCACAAACTTTAGGTAAACAAGTAAAACCAATATTCAAACCAAAAAAACATGTAAGCGCAAGTACTGTCATACATATTAATGTCAAATGAAGTACTTTAGATCAGTTTTACTAAACTAATCTAGCTAAAACTACTTGGATAATAAGCTACACAAACTTTGTTGCTCAGTTTTTCCTATTAGTAGTAATAACCATTTTCATGCTTACTACCCTAAGTAGTAAGTAGCTCTCTCATCCTGAATTTCTGCACCTATGCACACCTTGTGTAAAAGCATACTTCCTCGTCAGAACTTTCTGCAGACAGCATTCTATCTTAACTGAATTTGAGATATTTCCTTTGAAAGCTATAAAAATAGTAGATGTTTTCTTTTGTAATTAAAAAGTGTCAGCTCAGTCTTTCAACCGCTTAAATCGGGAGTATCAAGCTGTAGTGTATCATTGGATTTTTCTTACTGAAAGACTGAAAAGAGCAACAAAGATTTGAGAAGAACAAATATAAAACCAGTACACATGACATACACTTTAATTTAGCTTTTTAGTTAACTTCTGCTATCACAGAAAATGTTCTCTTTTCTTTTACAGAATCCCTTGATGGGAAAGAAATTAAAGAAATAGAAAGACAATTCCTAATGAATTGGAAAGCCTCCAAAGGTGCCAGGAAAAAAAACAAAGAAGGAATGACAAATGAGCATGCAGCCTGTCTAGGTTTCTGTAAGCAAATTAATCAGTTATTCCATGATTATTTGCAATATTATAGAAAAAATAAAACAGTAGCTAAAACCAAATATAGTAGAAATGAGACTAATGTTAGTGGTAAGCCCAAAACATAGGATTACGAAATTAGTCTTTTCCAATATAGAATTTAGTTTTAGTTCCAGTTCATCTTTTTTTTTTCTATCCCCTTTCTGTATATATATAAAAAAAAAAAGTATTAGGCATTCTAGAGTAAATCTGCATGAAATACATGATTTGCATACTGTGCAGTTCTTAGAATGTAGCTCATTAAATTAATTTAGCTCTTGCAGAAGTAGAAGTCTAACAGATGAGAAAATGCCAACAGGTTCTCAAAGTGGAAAAAAAAAACAGTTTTGAAAATCAAGCAAAACCTGAAATAAACTTTGAGAGTTTTTTGTAAGTGATCGTTGCTGTGGTTGTCATGGAATTGACTCCAGATTGAAAGCATTTCAAAAAAAAAGTTCTAACAGCATTTCTTGCCTGACAGATACAAGAATTACTGTAAGCTTGTGAAAGAGATCATCTTTGCAAGGCTTGGAAACAGACATTAGAATTTAAACTGCTTAAAGTAGTTTGAATAATCATATTTATAGAATAAAAATCATTGGCTGTTACGCTGTTGTTGTCACAAGATAAATTGTGAGAAGTAACTTGGGGGAGAGAGCATGTTCTTTATAGCCAAACCACCTCAAATTATTACTTCATCAAATCTCACAAAGATCAGCTCGTTTTGAAGACATGAAGTGAAAAGCAGTCAGTCTTTCAGTCTCAGCCCCAAGAAAGATGCAGTCTGATCAGTATTTAGAAGTGGTATGCAAATGCCAGTGGTTCTGAAAACAATATTTTATCTTCTGAATATTGGTATGAGGAAGCGCTATGTAATTGAAGTTACCCTTCTGAATAACATTGTGAAACTTTGTGCTAGTCATTTGATGATAAACTGAAAAAGCACTGCGTGATTTTTTTTTTTGAAAGTAAAGGCATTTATCTTAAAATCTTGTAGAAATTCTGATTTAGGTAACCGTATATTGTTACCTCTTGTTTCTTGTTTCAGCTGGATAAAACTATTCTGCTTTACCTTATGACCTGCAGATCTGCATTATGCTGTTCAGCAGCTATAGTCCACACCCATGGGGCCTATAATCCAATGAAGGGCAAAGGGATTTTTATGTAGTTTTTTGCTTATATGAAATGTTATGTCCTCTCTGATCAGAGTAAATAATTATTTTGCAAGCAGTAAAATATTAGTCATCTTAGATATACCAGTGCTAAAAGATTAAAGATTGTATCTTGCATTTGCAATGGAATATTTTAATGACAGTTATTTAACTGTGACTATTTATGGCTGTCATTAGTTAAGATTAAAGAGAATGACAAGTGAAGTGACGCGACTTTTACAAACCTCTACTTTAAGGTGAATACCTGCTTTAATATGCACCTGCATCAGTGTTTGCAGCATTTTCCATAATTTCATATGAAGTTTCCCATTCTCTATTATCAAATTTGTGGTGTTTTACTCCAAAATTTATTGCAGTGTTTTAGATAACAAGATATATTGGAGCCTGTGATCGATCATATTGAATAATAAAAACAGGCATAGTTTGACTTGGAATATTGAATTAATCACTAATTCTTTGTATTTTGCAGGTGATTTTGAAACACATTATCACATTCTTCCCTTTTACCACAGTCCATCTGTGAAGGAAAAATCAAATTCTTTAATTTTATCTGAGATATGCAAAGATAGAAGAAAACCTCTGCCAAGAACCCACGAAGAAAAAGAAGTTGTAGGAAAACTCAGGTGTGTTTCTCTCAGACATCTTCACTCTTAGCTCTTACTGAGTCTAAAACATGTATATGAAGGTAGAATTTCATCCTAAATTAGTTGGGTTTTTTTTTTTTTTACCATGTCATGTTCATTGTCTTTGTTTCTTTGAAAGAAAGGATAATAGATTTCAGTTTCTGGTTAAAAATCTTATCAGCAGGCTATCTAATAGTAATAACTTAACTCCAGTGTTGCTGGTTTCTGTCATATGCATTTGACTCCTGGATTATATCTTCCACAAAGGTAAAATAATACAGAAGTTGATTCTTGACAGTGTAGTTACTGTTGACAGCATCGATGAAGGTTGATGCAATGTATACAGTAACAGACAGAATGAGAAACAACCACTTCTCATCACTGTAGCTTACTTGTAATAAATACGTTCCAGTATGTTATATGCTTGATTAGGTTTTCCTGTAGCATCAGCTGAAGACCCTCAAGATAATCAAGAAAGGAAATCTGATGCCTGTGTCTTACAGACTTTTAAACAATAGAAAAGTTTAAAAGATTCAGAATTTAGGACAGGTGTTCCATATGTACAGAAGCGGCCCTAGTAGCTGCAGTGCAATTGTTTGTGGGAATAAAGTCTGCTCATATGTTTTTGCAGATTAGGAGCTATAATTTTACCTATTTTATCTGTAGTAATCTTATTTTTGTTTCATTCAGTATTTGGCACCTAAAACCATTCCTTCTAGACTTTTAATATTATTTTTAAGTAAACTATTTTATTATTTATCAGTCTACAGGTCAACAAAAAATTCTCATTTAGGCAATGCTGTAGATTTAAAAAAAATCAAGTGACATAGGTATTCGTTTGTAACTTGTTTACTAAATGTAGCAGTCTATTTTACATTCGAAACAGAATTTATTAGTATGTTTGAAAATTTAACTGAGAAGGGTTTAATACTATTTATTCTTGACAACTTACTCCTTCCCATTCCACTAGGTTTTTCCTCACTGACTATTTGTTCAGGACAAAAAATAGCCCCCTTTTCTTTGAGGAGCGAAGCGGAATTAGAAATCAGAGTTGCTCTCTTCCAAAGCATTATTTTCTGATCTTCATAGGACAGTAGATAAGTTCTGGTCCGAAAAGAAACTGAACTCCTCACATATGCACCCACTCTTGAATTTTTTTCCTGCTACTGAAGGCATGTAGCAGTGGAGAAGTTTAAAAACAAAAATTCCAGGAACAGTGCACTAATTATCACTAAGCAATACTTAATGATTATATTTCAGTGTATAGGCCACACCTGTGAAACATAGGGAGGTACAGCCTAATGCTCATGCCATACAAGCATCTCACTGATCTTGAGACATAGTCTAATCTTGGTACTGGCAGAATTTCATTGAAAGAGAAGAGTCTTGGGAATTAGTTAAAAGTTTGTGTGTTCCTTAAGATGTTTAAGGAAAAAATTCATATCAAAATACAAGAATATTCTTTCTTAGAATATATGCCGATTACAAAATAATCATAAATCAGTGTTCCCTCATCAGATCCAGTAATTTGTTATACGCACAAATAGGCCCACATGTAAAGTGAGCAAACTTTGTCACATTGAACACGCATCAGTATTGTTTAATGGAAATTCTGTATCAGACCATAGAAAGTAGTGAATTTTAATGCTGCCCTCTGTGTTAGTCAAATAAGTTATTCCAACAGATGTTTCCTCTTTCTTTATACACACTAGGTGATGTTTGACCCTTGGCAACTGAAAAATAGACATTAAATACTTTTTTAAAACTACATCTAAGATCCACTGAGGATTACGTACAACTTGAACAATGGAAAAAAGCCAGTTATTACTGGATTACTGAAATATGTCATTAATCTTTCTTTTTTGTTAATATAAAAACAATACCAATTTCATTTTGGATTTTCAAAGTTAGTTTTGGACATTTTTAGAGAGAGTTAAGCATATTGGCAGGAAGCAATTCAAAGAAAACAAATCACTTAACTATTTTAAAGATACCTAATACCTTCCAACAGGATACACTATTATTAATTTTCCCTGAGCAGAGTAGTTGTTGAAATTTTAATGTTGTAAACTTAAATTGTAACCAGCAGTTTCTGCCCACATATCCTTGCTAATGAAATTAAATATTGTAATAGGCTTGCAATTCAGAATTTAGTGGAAAAGTCACATTTTCCCTCACCGGTATATGTTATGTAATTGGAAATATCTCTAAATGATGTAGGCATCATACAATGAGTAACTACTCTGTATTGCGCTAACTATTAAAAGCCAGCCTCCTAACCACTATCTACGTCCTGTATGTGTAGTTCAACTTGAAGAAACTGGTGGGGAGCGTTAGTTCGCCTTCTCTCATTCTCCATCTTCTTAGCTCTTAGGCAGGCGCTCTTATCAAAAAAGTTTTTATTAATTTTATTTATTAAATATTTATAAATGCCTTGAAGTGATTTGTATGCTCTGCAATCTGTATGGAATACATTACTTGCATGTTTGATAACAGGTAAGAATGTACATGGTGTATACTGGGTTTCAGTTTATTTGAACCTAACTGTCAATGTAATAAATAGAATGATTAAGCCGTAATGGAGGATTGATACTGAGATTGTAATGATTGTGTACCCAAAATACAACTTTTACAGGCATACGTTTATTTCATACTAAAGAAATATAGTTCTCTGATTTGATGGGGATGAAGGAATGGGTTACCTGCAGGCAACCTTAAATCTTGTTCTCTTACAGAATGTCAATTTAAGCAAACTTCTGAAAACTCAAAAACAGTTTCAAGAAAAAACAGGAGATACAGAGTTAAGATATTCACAAGAGCAGTTTTAGCTGTGCACCCTAGAGCTAGTGATAGCCGCTGAGAATTGTCTGCAACCATTCCCAACTGTAATCAGAACTAGGTGTGCTAAATATTTGGAGATACTAGCTAGAGCACTTCGGCAGAGCTGAGAGCACGTTTTGAACAGCTCTGGAGTGCCCTTCCTTGATGGTGGCGTGGAAGAAAAAATGTATATCTTCTGAGTGAGGTCTAGTAAGTCTTGATCAGCAGTTAATTCTGAAGGCTGTGCAAGAGCAATGTATGAATTTTTTTTGGCCGTTGAATTATTCAGCCATAATGTGGAATATGACAGGAGCCTGTGTAATGCTAGACAAGCTGAAGTGTAAGGATGAAGAGAAGAGGTGAAGTTCTGGAATTAAATAGGTGTTGCTGAAGTAGAGCTATTTGGATGGAGACCAGGTATAAGTAATTTCTGGTTATTGTGTTACATATAAGGTTTCAGTGGGCAATTGGACCAATTTAGTGATCGTCTGCGTTTTTCCTGGAGGCTGTGCCCTACCTGCAAAGGTGAGTGTAAGTACAATTGTAGGACCACAATTAATATTACACTACTGTGTACCTTAATGGTATTTTGGGTGTCCGTGTTCACAGTTTTACTGAATGTGGTGATCCGTAGATTCCCATGATTCTGCCTGTGAAAATTAATTAATCTATTTAGAGGGAGAAATATAATTCCATCAATATAAAGTATGCAAGAATGTATACAAATGGCATTATCTTCAGTCCAAACTTATATTTCAGTAGTGGTAACTTCCCCAAAAGTTGGTTTTCATAAATGCTCAATCTGCAATTCTTAACACTGCTGCATCATTCAGTGTCACAAAGTCAGCTGATAAAAGGCATTCCTTTTTGGCCGTGAATTCTGCTGCTTGCCTGGAAACTACTGATTTGGAGATTATCCTTTCTGTCCTCTGTCCCTGCCTCCCTACTTCAGTTTTATATGCTGCTGAGTGTGCCCAAAACTGGGAAAGGATCTAAAATATGGTAATAGAACTTGTGCACTGGCAGACCTACTGTGACCGTTAAGAGAATAAATGCATTTCCAAATAGCTGAGAGGCAAGTGCATATCGCCTGATAAGCAGCTTGCCAGCTAGACCACACGTACTTCTCATGCGTCTGGATGAGGAGAGGTAACAGGCACGTTCCTGTCAGGAGATCTAGGCCTGCTGATTGGGCAGCCAGTGGGAGCGTATTTGCTTGCGTTAGCCTGCTACCTCTGTCGGGAGATGCACGCTGTTGCCCAGCGATGGGAAGGCCAGGTGGCACATGCAACTTGCCAGCCAGTAGTAGGTCACAAAATCAACCGCGGCGCATTTGGGTGTAGAGACTGTAATGTGCAGCATTGTCAAATACTTTCAGCAATTAAACCAGAATGTTTGAAACCTTAATGTAAAAATATTTGAATATTTCATAAATAAAATACTGGAATGTTTTACAAATAACATTTTAAACAGAACACACATACAGGAAGGGTAATTCAGTGAATTCAGAGTGAGTTAGGTCTTTTAAATGGTTCTATCAAAATCGTATCAGGGACAGTGCTACTTTAGGATGATAGAGAGCACAACCAACTATATGCATGTCTGTTTTTCCGGTGTTTAAGAAATGTCTTCATTATAATAGTTATATCTTGGAAGTCTGTTTTGCTTATATAATAGCATTTACTTTTTTTCCTATCCTTAGACCTTTGTTGTCAGTACTTTTGCAGAATACTGTTGTGATAACAGTTCAGAATTTCATAGTATCTTTTTAATTTGCTGCCTTAGCATTGTGCATTTTGATTGTGTAACTACTTTACAATTTTAAAAATCACTTTTATATACACAAAGCATGAATCAGATCAGCAAAGTAAAAAAGAAATGCTTGTTTTTTCAGGATTTTAAAACTTATTCTTGTACAATGAAAACATAATTTTCTTTGAGGATAAAATAAAACACTGCTACTTGAATAGGGTTATATAAATAAATTCTGTAGCACCTTAGTGTAACTCTGGCATCGGTTCGGTTGAAAGAAGTGCCAATAAGCTAATTTACTGCAGTGATGTAAATACTGGGTCACTCTTTGCCTTCATATATCCTACCATATATCCCATCCCCCTTCTGTAAGCGTACTGCCATACCTGAGAAGTTGAAAGCAATCACTTTAATAAACTTTAGGTGGTTACTCAGTCATTCTGCCCTCATCTAGCAAGGTGAGATGGTACATTTTGGAGGAGAGCATTACAATTGCTAGTGGCTTGGTAACAGCTATACCTCCAGGTGGGCAAACCTAGGCTATACTTTAACAACAGGAAAATAAATTATCTTACATCTCTTCTAAATAGTGTTTGGCTGTTGTTCCTACGTGCTACTATCTATTGCTCCTTGTGCAGATATTCAGAATTATAAAGGACCCTGAAGAAAGGACGCTGGGGTGCTTTTTAGCCCTCTGTTAGGAGTCCACAGGGATATGCAAGACACGAGCACAGCTTAGCAAAAGCTACTATTAATAGGTTTTGAGCTAACAGGCAGAAGCATATACACCTAGAGTGGAAGCCACATGACAAAAAACACCTTGAAGAACCATTGTAAGGTAACAAAAAATAAAACACACACATCACTAAATTTGAGCAGATCTGTCTAGTGTCAGATCCTTTGTAAGTGAACACGGGTATGTTGGGATTTGGTGCATTTGAGCATACTTGTCAGTGGAATTCTCAGTTCGCTTGTAGAAATGTAAGACTTTTCAACTCAAAAGTTGTCAAGTTTTATGAAAAACCTGGGAATTCCTGGAGCCCCTTACTTCTTATCTTACTTCAAATCCCACGTCATGGCTGAGTTATTAAATAGCAAGAAAATTACTTGCTCTTGCACAAGACATAATTGCTTCAGATATAATTGCTGATCAAGACTTACGAGACCTCACTCAGAGGATGTATACGTTTTTTCTTCAACGCCACCACCAAGGAAAGGCAAGGACATGTACAGCCCATGTTGCAAAGGGCACTCCAAATCTGTGGCTGTACATGTTGCAAAGGGCACTCCAAATCTGTTCAAATTCTTCAATGACACTACAGCCCTAATCTGCAACAGAGCAGACTTCTGTTCCGCTGTCCAAGCTTTAATGAAGACGTTATACAGAATCGGTCCCAATATCAACCTCTGAGGAATGCTACCAGTTAGACTTTGAATCACTGCTCACTACTCTCTGAGCCAGGTAGTCTTGCCACTTTTTCACTCGCCTTATTCAGTCTCACTTATTCCATCTACCTTCCTCCAATTTGGCTGTAAAATTTCTGAGAGACCATATGGAAAGCCTTGCTGAAGTCAAGTCAAAGTCCACCACTCGCCTCTCATCTACAGAGCCAGTCTTTTCATCATAGGACGTAATCGAGCTGGTCAGCTTGATTTACCCTTGGGAAATCCATGCTGGCTGTTCCCATTCACCTTCTTGTCCTTCATGTGCCTGCAAATGGTTTCCAGGAAGATTTACTCCTTAATCTCTCCATGTGCTGAGGTGAGGCTGATCAGCCTTTAAGTTTCCCAGATCTTCCTTGCCCGTTTTGAAGATGGACATGACATTGCTTTTGCTGCTTCCCTGCTCGCCACCATGTTTCAGATATCATGAGGGCAGTCTCTCTATGATATTGGTCAGCTCTGTCAGCACCCTTGGATGCATCCAATCCAGTTGCAGAGACATGGATCGGTCTGATTTGCCCAAGTGGTTCCTAATTTGATCGTCCTATACTTTTGGTAGTACTTCTCCCCACACAGAATATCACTGGGCACAGAGACCCAGGAGGGCTGACAGTAGACATTGCCAGTAAAGGTCCTGATGCTTTCAGAACCCACAGTACTGCTGCGGCTTTTTGGTCTGTTAGAAAGTACGAACAGGGAAACCAAGTAAGGCAGCAGAGTTTGAATGCCTCTCCTTGGTACGGTTATGACCCCAAACAGAATATACATATGGATGCATAATCTTTGTAATCACTGTGTATATATTAATTCTAATTTTGATCGATCACCAATACAATTCCAAAAATTCCTATTTTTCCTAAATGTCACATTAAAAATAGTGCAAGGTGCAAGTTAATTTAATGGCATATATGGCATATTTCCTATCTAAACATATATATATATATATATATAAAAGCTATATATATACACACACACAGACACATATGTATAAAGCAATGGATACGACTATCTGTGATACAGTTATAAAAGCCACATAATGCAAAAGTTCTGGAATTGGGGGAGAAGGGGGGAAAATAGACAATAAATGGAGTCAAGAGTTCAAGATGTGCCTACTGCTTTTTTAGGGTGACTGTTCAGATACATGATCTGTTCATGCTAGAAAATATGTCCTTGTACATCACGGTGTAACTGATAAAAATAAGGAGGTCTGAAAGACTTCCTGGGTTTTCTTATGGTTTTTATCTTGGTATATTATGCAAAGTAGCTACCCTGAGTAACAGCTCGGATGGAGATCAAATAATATGTGAACCTATTTATTTCCAGTGGCTGAATGATAAATGCTATATATTGTGACTGTAACCAATACATTTTACTTTACTAGAAGAAAATGTAATTTTTTCTAATAGCGTGTTTTTATTTTGTTAAGTAACCTGGCCTTGAAGGATTCTAAAAGTTCACTGCCAAAAAAAGATGTATTTAAACCTTTCCTCTTCAATCAAATGCCACTGTAACCAGAGACTACAGAGATGACTACATCTTTCTGTTCTCTTAATTCTCAACAGAATTAATTGCTGCGTCAAAATCAAGATAAATCGGAGCCAGCTGTGAAATGATCCATCTAATAGACTAATATTTTAATTCAAAAAAGAGATTTGGAGCAATAAACTCTTCCTTTTTTAGAGAGTTGTGACTATCATACTAATCACTAATTGCCTATCTAATAAAGTTGGATATAGTCAGTTATACATGGTTTGTGGTAAAGTATTTTGTAATAAAAGACTGAGTCTTACCTGATTTCATTTGTGTAAGAAAGAAATGCTTTGACTATTAGTAAGACTTTGTTTCTAGTGGAACTTGAAAATTATCAGGTTTGATATAAATTTATGTGGACAAAATTGTTAACTGTCCCTTTGTGTGTGTGTGTGTGTGTGTGTGTGGAAAAAGCTTGTCAGTTTTGTAATAAAAGAATGTATAACACCCCAAATCTTGAGATTATGTCAATTCAAATTAGTCTGCGCTTAGTTTGGCATTGAAGAAAAAAAAAAAAGCTTTTGCTGCATCAGTCAATATCCTGGCAATAGGCAAAGACCACACATTCTTTTCTCTTTTTTTCATCTGCAGCTTTTGATAACACTGATTTTAAGTTTGACAGAAATGCTGCTTGGTCCTGAGAAGTGTTAACAAAGATTTAGGAGCAACAGGGACATTAGTACAGTTCTGACATTAAGATCTGATCAGTCTTGTCTGATCTCACTGGTGTAGGTTGAGGAGGAGTCAGAAGCAGTGGCAGAAGAGAGTTTCATTCTAAATGCCGTTAAGTTGCTAAGTGTGCAAATTGGTCAATATTAGATTTTTTTCTTTCTTTCTTTTCTCCAACCTTACAAAGAAAGGTATTGGCATCTCTTTGGATATGTTACTGGTGTCTTTGTAATCTCAAAACTAATGCTGAACCTAATACTGCATTTTAAGAGCATTCAGAAATATAAGGAGGCAACTGCCTATTTATTTAGAAGCAATGCTTTGTATTAAAAACATGTAAAAATATCAACACTTTGTAGACTAAATTGCCTGCCTTTTTTTAAACTTCCTCAAGAAAGGGGTTGTTTTTAACTGGTGTCTTGACTAGTTTGTGACCTGAACACCTGAGAGGCTGCTTCTTTCTATATATGCCACTGTAATAGTTATGCAGGAGCACCCTAATAGTGTCTTACTTCAAGGAGAGAGAGGCTATTAGCATGGGGTTTTTTAGAAGGTCTGTAGCTCTAAAAAATAATTTTCCACCGTTTGGATTTTTCCAAGTTCTGGTGAAGGCTGTGGAATAGTTAGGAAAGAAGGCGCCACAAGATTAATGATGTCTGTGCTGATTAATTTTTGGATTGAGAGTTTTATACGTTAATTTTACTTCAAATAGTGGTTTGAGGAGCTGGGACTAGTTTGAGTAATTAAATGAAAGCTCATTAAATGAAAGACTTAAGATACAGGAAAATTCCAGTCCTTCAGATAAAGAAAGGAAAGCACAGACTGTAAATCGCCCATGGAATAAAATCTTTCCTAAAACAGTTTCTCGGTATGAATGTCAACTCTACATCTTATCCTTGAAATAAGAAAGAAATTTTGCCTGAATAAAGAAATGAGGATCTGGCTTTTTGCATTCAGCTGTTTCGTGTTATTTTGTTATCATTTAGATTTTATTGCCTTTTGATAAAGGCAATTCAAGTAAATGTTACTCCTGTATACTTCTGTTTTCCCCATGAATAACAAGCTATGTATCTTTGTTAGAAAGCAAAGAGGTATCCAGAACTAAGGCACTAGATGAGTGGTGTTTTAACCTTGAGCCACTTCTTGCTTCTGTTCAAGCTAGTGAGTGATTTATCATCAGAATAAGAAAACACTGAAAAACGAATGAAGGACTGATAAGTAACTGTCATTATTAGTTGATTACTGAAATTAATATTAACAGAGCATGATATTTCTATTTTTAGCTGTCCTCACCAATGATATTCAGATCAAGGAGAGTAGAAAAGTGGAAAAGAAAAAAATTGCTTTTTGTTTAAACAATTCTCAAAGAAAAATGTCAATACTTTTCATGAGCATGCCTAAAGTGACAGCTATGGGATTATTGACCCAATGCAATGTATTAGAAAGTCACCTCCTGATCTTTATAGCAGGATGTTACTGAGGCAGCCTTTCCACCCTTACATTTATTTCCATTTGCCTTGCACGCACCCATTCAAAAATATGTTCAATAGATTTTCAGCATTTCTCAGTGTGGGTTATGCTATGTAAGCCATCTAGACCATGACATATTTTTCAGAGATCATGAGCATTTGCAGCTTTCACTTTAAGATTTCAGTCCGTTATAAATTACATATAACATTTAAGACCTGAGCAAATTATTCCCAGCATGGCACAGGCCATGGGGTTTCACCCAGTGATTCCTGCAGCCAGGCAACTCACGTCAAATCCCTTTCAAAGTCTTCCATGGGTGAAATAGCATAGACGGTCTCAGCCTCTTTGGATCCAAACTCCCTCTCACCTTTTTATTTTCTGTATTAGCTTGGCTACATCCCGACTGCATATATGTATGTATACTCCTATTCTGTGGCCTGCCCTAAACTCCTGCATTTTAAGTTTACAAACCCCTTTGAGTGCAGTCATTCACACTGTCATTTGATGCACAAATACTCACACTTCTCCAGGTCCAGCAAAGCCAACCCTTGCCCTGCTCGGCTCCCACTCCGCTCTCGCTGGCTGCCACACTGAGCTTCTCATGTAGCTGCCAGCAGAGAGAAAACTTTGAGGCAAATTTCCTTCATCCTTCACCCCCAGTTGCCTTTCTCCCTTTCTTAGTATGAGAACTGATGACTGAGCTGATGGAGAAGCTTTCAAATTTGACATCTTACTTGTGATCTAGAATTCAGTAGTTGTAAGTATTCCCTTAAATACGTGTGCATATAAAATGGAATTATGGTGGGGTCTAGGTATTTCTAAGACTTAAAACAAACTTTAATATTATGCTCCAGTACATACATACGCACACACACAGACACACACACGCACGCACACACACACACACACACACACAAGAATGGAGCTGTTCTCATGCATTTTAGGTATATTTTAAAATTAATTATTCCTTTATTGGGAAAAGTGGGTGTCTGCTTCTTGATGTTAGTATTAGTGATTTGGAATAGCTGGGAGAGTGGGATATTGAACTCTATTAAGCTTCCTTTTTGCCACTTGCCTCTGAAAATTGTTATGTGATTTTAGTGAAATTAATTCAAAACATTTATTTTTAAATGTTTGGTTTTATAACTATAGATATAAAAATCTAGAGAGGAAAAATTAAGAGGAGCTTGAGATATAGCTAAATTGTGAGCGTTTTGATTGTTTTAAGGTTATTAGTAAAAATGTTCATCCAAAAATTTTTTGAAATTTAAAATGGAATTTTCAGTAAGATAGCATTTTTGGAAGCTAAACAATTTTTGATCAGCCTATTTGGAAGGAGAGATGAATTTTAAAAGTTTGTCCTATTTACTTTTTCAATTTTAAAATCTTTCTTACAGCACTGATGTATTCTTGTGTTCTACAATTAAGTAGCAGCTATCATTAATTGTTTAGAAAATAAAATGCAACGTATTTTGCTACACTGTAATATATTTGACATAACTGCAGAATATGACATACTCCTACGACATACTATTAATGGTGACATGCCAAAGCAAAATAACATTTGAAAAAAGGAAAAAAATATTTAGTGGGAAATTTTCAAAATATTTGTTCTGATCTAGAATTAACTCCAATTATTAAATGTTGAGTTTTACCCGTGAAACAGAAGTTCTGAATTTCAGTGTTCTGACCTTCATATGGCTTTATCTTGCCTCTGATTTGCTCCAGAACTGCAGCTAAACTCAGTGGAATCTGATTAAAGCCAGTGCGTGGCTTGGCACCACACATATTTTACTCAAATGAACTACATTTTTGCTAGTCCATCAGTGGTACTAATACTCACGCTTCACCTCATCACCTGACAAACATATCTGTTAAATCCTAATCCCAAAAATGGGAATTGGTGAAAATGTACAAATCAGAAAGAAATATTGTGAATGCTGAATTTCATGCTGAATTGCAGCTGTAAAACCAGAAAATGATTTAATATGAAGGGAGCAAAGCGTACCTGGCAAAATAGTACACTGTCTCTAGCAGAACTTTTTCTTACCTAAATCACACTTGAAATCTGGCTCTTCTGTGACTGTGGCATTTCTTCAATTTGAAATATACCCTAGAAAGTACGGCAAGGAAGTAATTCTCAGATATTCCTTTGGGAAGGGAGAAAAAACAGCTGCAGCGGCTTGCTGTGACTTCATACATAAATGCTGTGTTGATAAAAGGAAGCAGTCACTGGATCGCTTGCTGTGGTTACAATGGAGGAGTCTTGCGGTGGGAGAGAGTTGACAGCGTAGAGGGCCACTATCGCTATTTTGATATCTGTATTTAAAAGTATATATACTCAATGTACCTCCTCCTTGTCACAGCAGTAGCAGTCAGGCTGGGCTCTCCAGGCACCACATACTAATTTCATTCAGCCATTTCTGCAGTACTCACCGGGCTGGATTTGGAGTTGCCAAAGGTGGAAATCGCTTCCACCGTTTCTCCTCCAGCTCCTTCCTCTGGATTTCCTCTGCAGCAGTTGTGTTAGGAATGTGAGAAAGGCAACTTGAGAGCTCTAGTAGTGAGGCCAAACACATTACGGACACAATAGAAGAATAGTAGTAAAAAGACCATGATTTTGCAGAGTGGAGTTTGAGTCATTAGTTAAAACAGAGCAGAGAAAAAGAGCATAGTACTTGCCATTAGCTAATTTAGGGTTGCTGGGAAGTCTGAACCTACCTAACACATGAAAGATGTAAAGTCCCTGTTCTATCAGCAGCTAAAGATAATGCATAGACTAATGATATTAGCATTGTAGTAGATCCCATATTCCAGCTAAAATCTCTTTTTTGAGTAGGAGTTTTTTGGGCAGGCAGACCTAGGACACCGCTTTGGGAAATGGGAGCACCAATCCCTAGGCTTGTGCGTGGGATCCAGTGCGGGAGTGACGATGACAGAATGAAAGAGGAGTCCCAGAGGAACTGGGACTGGAACGCAACCTCCCCGCTCCCCAGTGAGTGTCCCACCACCACTGTGTCACATCCCACTCTCTCTCCCTGGTCCACTGAGGGTGTTTTCAATGCAAGTTTAAGGACACGCTAAAGAGCTACTTGTTTGAGCCCTTGAGGCTGGCTGAGCAGAGTTGTGTCTGTCTGTCGTGAGGCTTTCCAAGAGGTCTTAGCAGCAGGATGGTTTCAGGCACGCTGACCCGAGCAGGACGTGGATGTGGAAACCTCAGGGCTGAAACGTGCGGGCCTGGGTGCAAGGCCTCCTCAGCTGGGCTTGTTGGAGGTGTGTCTGTCCTCCAGCCTTCATTCTCTTGGGCACCATGCCGTTGAAGAGTGGTCCGTGGTGGGGGTGCAGTCCATAATAACGATCTTGTAAATATTTAGAGTAACTTTCCCGGTGGAAGGAAGGAAGGGAACCCTGCTGCGGGCAGCCTGCGCCAGGCAAAAGTAAACGTTCAGACGCTGCTTCGGCTTAGCGTTTACGTCCACCTTCCTCGCAACGGCCTGGCAGCATCACTTGATACCCCTCTGAACCTGGATGAAAGCAGGTCCGGGGCAGCTGCCGAGG